TGTATGCCTGCCCCAAAAACAGGGACCAGCAGTAGTTCCAGCTGCACTCCCACTCCTTTGCCATATGCAGATTTTGCTTTTACAACTCTAGATCCAAACTTTGACTTGTGCAGAGTGCCCCGCTGCCCCACCACGCAATTTAAACTTTCTGATTAATTTTAATAAATATATTTTTGTCCTTTATTTGTAGAATTTGTTTCGTTTACCATATATATAATTTCCTTTTCGTGGGTTGTACATATATATATATATATATATTCGTGTCTCGTTATTACATGTCATTATATATTATATATAAGTTATACTTTATACGATTTATGCTGCTAGATATACGCGCAAATGCATATGGATTGGGGGCTTTGGGTATTATCGAGAACTTTGATTCAACTTCAGTTTTCGTTTAAGGGGGAGCCACATATCGTAGTTATGGTTTGTCTTTACTTTGATCGATAAATGCATCGATATATTGTATCGATAATCAAATGATTCAACCATAAATGACTTCGCTTCGTTGGCCTATGTACAATTTTGAGTTATTGCAATGAACTTTTTTCTTATATACAATTCTTACACTAGAGACAAAACAGGCAAGGCGAAGGGTTTCTTCGTAGATATATGTACGTGTGTATTGAGGGTATTCCTAACTTCAACAAAAACTATATATACAGAATGTCACACAGCTGTCTGGGTAATGCTTAAATGCTATTTTCATTTTTCTCTATACGAATTTTGTATAACTTTATTTGTGTTTTGTTTTCTTTCGTAATTTCTGTTCTGCTAATAATGGCACACAATATTATTGTTGATTTTTGTTTGATATAATTTCCAGTACCATTTATATGGAGACACTGAGATTGAATAGAGATTTATTTTGGGCTGCGGGCTGCGGGTTGGGACTATTCATTATACACACAACTAACAAGCCATCGCCTAGCATATGAACAACCTTCAATGGATCCAATTACCATATATAATATATGTGTATTTTCTCATCAGTTTTTTTATACAAATGTTCTTTTGGCAGCAGTTGCGACTTTTAGACGATTATTATGCTTTATACAGGAACAGAAACAAACACTTTGTATTATGTATTTATGTATTTATCTGTGTATATATGTACGGGTATGTATGTATATTGGGGGGTCATTGCTAGTATGTTTGCTGATAGTTTCTTAGATGTTTGGTTTGCTTTTGGTTCCTTGTTTGTGGCTAGATTTGATTTCATTGTTATTATATAATTGCTACACACACACACACACACACACACTCGCACAGGAGAGGACAGGAGAGCGATGGCTGCTCTTAATTAAAATTGCAACAAATGAACAATGAAACAGTGTCAAAGGCTGCCCCAGCATACCCCAGTCCGAGACAACTGTTGCACCCAAGCTAGAAGCTTCAGCTCCGGCTCCGGCTCAAGCTCGAGATAAATTCAAATAAAATTTCAATTAAATCAATTCAAGCATGTGGCAAGGCATGTATCCATCCCCCAGTAACCCCCACCCCCCCAGGGGTCGTGGAGTCGAGAGACTCGGTGCAGTGTCAAGTGTCCTTCCGGACACTGGGCTGGACTGCATTCTCAAGTGTCTGAAACACAGTGGACACACACACACACACAGGCAACAACCTGAAGCATCTCTAATTGAATTTCGGGTTTTGCTGATTCGAATTCTGCTCAGAGTTCTGCTGCTGCTGCTGCTGCTGCTGCTCTGCTGCTGCATGGCTGCAGTTGCGTGTTATCTTGTATTTGTTTATTTTTATATTTTGCTGGCAGTCAGCCACTGATGGAAAGATTACTGCTGCAAGCCAAGGCAGGCTGCTGCCAGCAGCAGCTTGGAGCAGCTGTTGCTTGTCAGCCATTGAGACATTACAAAGCGAAGCCATTTACATGGCTGCACACACATACACACACACACAAGCGCACATACATACACACATACGCAGACACACCCCACACTCATTTCATTATTAAATCAAAAAAGTTGAGTAAATTTCTGCCAGCGGCTGTACTCCCTGCCTGTCTTTTTCTCTGTGTGTGTTTGTAACAATTCAACTTGATTGCCATTTGTTTTTAGCGAGCTGCTGCCCAACGCACCCCCCGCCCGCACACCCACGAACAGCACTACATGCGGAAAATGTTTTGCGGCCAACACACACACACACACACACACATCAGCATCTCCCTCTCCCACTCGACAGCAGTAAGCGGTGTATTCAATTAAACTTCCGTCAAACATGAAGCAGCCTCTGCCACGCAGCAGCCAGCGACACACCGACACGGCCCCAACCCACCGTTCCAGGGCTGCCTTGAGGTTATAAAATAAACATGTTGCCACACACAAAATTTAAATAGATACAAGTTTGCCACACTGCAAAAAAAAAGAAAGAAAAAATAAGCAAAAGCAAAAGGAAGAGCTCAAAATATGATGTGGGCCAGTGGGCGAATATTGTGTGGGAGGAGCAGCACGAACTCAGCTCAGCTCGGTCAGGAGATCTTTCCAGGATAAGATTGAGCGAAGAAAAGTGAATGTGAATTGATACACAAGAAATATTTGGGGCATCAAATAAGTTTGCCCATCAAGCGAGGGAAGTGAAAGATGCAAAAGCACTTTTAAAAAATGTGCCTAAAGCAGGGCACGAAGCAGTGCAAGAATGCAGTTAAAGCCAAGCAGTGCAAGAATGCAGTAAGAGGAAAGGCCTGGACTGAGAGTCAAGTAAAAGACACAAAAATGTGAGCTAATATTTGCACAAGAGAGAACAGTTTTAGGCGGACACTAATATTAGGTGTAAGCGGAATACATTAAATGGAAGTCATTCGTCCTAATGTACCCGCTAAATGATGTTTTTGTGGAAAGAGTATTGAAAGCAGGGGATCTCCATTAAGAACCTTTTTGGCCCCCATCTCCATCTCCATCTGCATCTGCATCTGGATTGCTCAAACAAAAGCAACTTAAACACAGAAGGCACACAGCACAACAAAACACACAACGCGAATGATAATAAAAGTGGGGGAGAATGCGAAATTAAAATACAATTTGAAAGCATCAAATGGAGCAATTAAGCGGTTGTCTGCAACCCACACACACACACACTTGCCACTCCTTTTTGCCACTCGCTTACCCGCAACATGGCACTGGGCCTGTGGCCCACAAAAGTAGGCAACACGCACTGAATGGCATGCTGCTCTCGAAACTTGATTACAAGTGTCGCGGAAAGCCCCAAAAAACAACTCGAAAGCGGCTCCATAACCAACGATAAGTACTAACAACACACACACACACACACACATTTGTAACTGCCCCTTTATGGGGCAAACATATGCCATGGGCTGGTGTGGTACATGTATGTAGGATGTGGCAAGTGTACAAAAGAGCCGCGAGCTAACAGCCAGCCAACTGGCAGCAACAGAAGAGTTGCAGCAGCAACCAGAGTGCCCTGAGGAAGAGCATCCATTGGCAGAGAGTAAACTTAGTGAGTGGTCCAGAGAATGCCTTTTGCTGTCGGATCATCATTGATCCTGCATCTTAGAGCAGCTTTAAGGAGCAGCCACAATATCAACAACAACAACAGCAGCAGCAGCAATTTTACCATCATCGATGACAGCTACTAACAGCAATTGGAGGAGCAGCAGCAGCAGCAGCAACAATGAGTACAACTACACCCACATAAACCATAAGCTACACACAACAAGATGGGGGGAGTACACCAACGATGACAACAATCAAAAATGTTGCTGGCGCTTCACTAGTTCCTCGATGTCCCCGATGTTGTTGTTGGCTTTCTTCGGCGTCTGTGTAATTTGAAACACTTGTGTCAACGTGCCCCAACTCCCTGCCACTGCTTGCCACTGACATGTTTCCTTGGGTTGCTGCTGCTGCTGCTGCTGCTGCTGCTGCGGTTGTCAGCGTCTTATTATCATCATCAGTGGCAGCTTTTGGCGGTTTTGTATATTTGCTGGGGCAGGAGAAGAGGGTGTGCATGGAGCAGTGCTTTTTTCTTTGGCTGCAACTTCTTTGGAGACGGAGTGAGAGTGGAGGGTGAAGCCAACAAGGATGGGGATGCTGCTGCTGCTGCTGCTGCTTACAATGAAATTCACTTTGCCAAAAAGTTTTCATTTCATTAAAAAGTGGCCCAAGCATACAAACAGACATGTGTGCATGTGTGTGGTTAACTGACATGCAAGTAATTCATCAAAAGCAAAATGCAACCAACAAAACTGACAGCAGATGCGAGTGTATCTGTGTCCACAACTTGTGCTCTGCCTCGCCCCCTATGCCCTTGGCTCTGCACAGCTGCAAGACACACTCTGGCTAAAGATGTTGCCAGAGCAAGCGGCAGACCAACAGTCCAAAGAAACAAAAAAAAACAAAGAAAAATAAGAAGAAGTTTGACGAACACCAAGATATGGTTGCTCCAATGGAAGACTGCGGCAGGGTAGAGGTTAGGCTGTGGCATGGTGTGCCAGGCACTGGCCTCAGGGGCTTAAGCGGCTTAAGGGGTTAAACAGTGTGTGCAAAATAATTTGCATAAACATGCGAAATTTAATTATTTCACAGCAAGTTGCAAGCAGCAGGGAGACACAAATGAAGTAGAGACCAGTCCTCTAAAAGTGGATTAAATCAACGAGAACATGGAATATTTATGGGGGACAGGTTTAAAGGTTTATCTTTGGGGTGGGATTAAAAGGATTAAAGGGCTTTGATTCGATTGGAGAGTTATCGCCCTTCAATGAACCCTCCTGAAAACCCTTTCCAATGCAACTTTCTATGAGTCACCCCTCTCCATCTACTCAACTTTGCCCTACTCCAGCATCTCATTCCATTTGAAGCCCTCAAATCTTCTGCATTTGTTGGAATGCCAATCAAAACTCAACAAATGAACCAAAAGAAACCGCCAAAGAAACCGAAAATAAATCAAGAAAATAAAAAGCAAAAAGAGTTTGTTTTTCGTATTTTTTGTGACATTAATTGACTTTTTCGAGTGTCCCTTTTTGGGATGTGCCAAAAATGGGATTAGGAAATTTCAAGCGGGGCGAGACGAGGATTTAATGAGAAAAGGGTAAGTGCAAAGGGAAAAGAGTACCACACCTTGAAGCCAAAACCCGCGCCTGTTAATATTAATAATCATCAGCATTCAATTCTCCAAATGTTATATAAATATTTCCCTCTGCCGCTGTCCAGTTTCCGCCTGCTTGGAGTGTGGTTGTGGCTTGTCTTTTGTTATAAACAATTTTAACATTTGCTACTACAACGTACTAGGTGTGTGTGTGTGTGTGCGGGGTGTGCGGGGGTGTGTGTGTTCAATCCCGTTAGACTGGGTATTATAAGAGGCAATGGCGGAGCGTGAGAAGTAAACCGGACACGGCCGACAAACCCATTAAGAGCGGCTGTCGACAGTGCCACCAATGCGGATGCCATGCCCCCTGCCAGCTGATGGAACTGACGCTCGGTAGGGGGCACATGTGGAAACTGAAGCTGAAGCTGAAGCCGCGAATTCCCGCACCGCCGGAGCTCATTTCGTTGTTGTTGTTGTTGTTGTTGTTGTTGTCGATGGGGCCGCGCACCTCGTTGTTGCCGCCGACGCCGTAGTAGGGTGGCGGCTTACGTGTGATGCCCAGCTCCCCGCCTCCACCTGCTGCACCACCGACACCACCCCCAGCTGCACCTACGCCGCCGCCATTCTGATGCTGCTGCTGGTGGTGATGGTGATGGTGGTGCTGCTGATGTTGATGCTGATTACCACCGCTGCCGCCAGGGCTGCCAGGCTTATGTGTGGGCGGTTTATTGCCGCTGGTGTAGTAAACGTGAGGCGATAACGGCGTCAGGCCGCCACCCTCGCCATCGCCATCGAAATCCTCGGCGGAGCCGTACTGCAGCTCCTCGTCGTCCGGCTGGTATGTGACTTTGACTTGTTGTTTCTGCTTTAAAATGTCATTGGCATCCGCATCCAAGCCGACTCCGCCGCCGCCGCCGCCGCCGCCGACGTTGCCCTTTCCGTTCAAGGGATTTTTATTACGATTCGGACCGGGGATTTCTGAGGGAGAGAAAGAGCGAATAAAAAAGAGAAGGGAAGTGAAGTGAAGTGAAGAAAACAAAGCAGAAAATGTAATTGAAACAGAGGTGCGAATACATCCACAGACATATGTGCACGAGTGTTAATATGTCTATGGGTTTTATGGCACAAAAACACACGAGAGGGAGAGACTGCAAGTGGAAATAAGGAGGAGAAACCACCTACCATACAGGCGTATGCTGCTGTCCACCTCACCGAGGGAGTTCTTGGCTATGCAGCGATACGAGCCGACATCATCCTTCTGAAACTTACGCACAATCATCGACATCTTCGTCTCGTACATGGACTGGGATGTCTCCTGCACATGATACTTGCCCGAGCTGACAATCATTTCACCTGCGAATCAATAAGCAAACAATTAACAAACAATCCGAATGTAAATTCGTGTTAAGTGAATTCTAAATGAAGCTCTACTACTACTACTACAAATTGAACACTGAAACAGCATTTTTCACTCATCACTGACTGAGCGAATGTCAGTTGTTCCATCGCATCTGCTTATCGCAGCTACTCCAAAGAACCAAAAGCTTGGATCTAACTTGGATCTTCAATTGAAGCTTGAATTGGGTGCGCTGCCTGGCCAGAGTACCCGTTTCATTGCTGTGTCCTATAATATTTTTGACGCCTAATGACTGGACTCTAAGCCCTGCCAGAAAATACAAAAAAATAAACCCAAGAGGGGGAGAGAGAGCGAGAGAGGCCATGACAGGGGCCATGGCCAGTGGCAGGCATCAAACCGAACGAGCAACCGCCACCTGGAACCTGAACGGACGAACGTGCCACAATCTGACAACTGACTAATGACAATGCCAAACGATTCGATTCGATTCGATTCGATTCGATGTTGAAGTAATGATGCGTTCGTCCTGGGCCCAACATCTGCATAGATGCACGAGTATGTGTACGTATCCATGGACATGCACATGCGACAGAGCAGACAGAGCAGACAGAGAGGCAGACACATAGACAGACTTACCCGTGTCCTTAATCCAGTAGTTAATTGATTTGGGCGAGGCCTCAACGTGACACTCGATTTGGACATCAGTGCCAAGTGGTGCGCCGACTAATTGATTTGGTACTTGGATGACTGGATGAACTGCAACGACACAAGTCACGCATTGGCCACCATTAAAATAGATGCAGACAAAAATACAAACATATATAGGTATATCCCCCTCGTGGGTTCTTGGATCATTTGCATCTGAATTTGGAACAAATCTTCTGCACATCTTAAAGTTCAATTTGCGTGCCAGTCGGGAGCCAGCGAACTTGAGGGCCAATTGAGTGTAGCATCCTGGCACTCCTGCTGGGGTGGTGGCTCATCAGAATGCAGTTCAGGCAGCGTCAGACAGTGAATTGACAACTCTTTTGCCAATGGGCCAACTTTCGTATTTATTGTCACTTAGCAGGTGTAAGAGACAGAGACACAGAGAGGCAGAGGGGAGTGTGGCATTCAGGACTGGCTATGACCAAAATTGGTGGTTTTGTAAAACCTGCCAAAAGCTTGCCCAGAACCTCCCCGCCACTCCACATGCTGGGCAGCTCACAGATTGCATATTGTCTCCGTCTATCTGGGAGTTTACCTCTCAGTCCCCTCCTGCCTATCGAGAGCTGCTCCCTGCTCCCTGCTCCTGCTCCAACCATGTTGAGACATTTGTGGCCATGTGCATTGATAGTTGATTGCAGCTCCAACAATGAAACATCCACACAGGACAAAGTCTACTCCCATGTCCGTGCGGCAGGCAGCCTATAGCCATATATCCATGTGTGCGGAGAGTTTTGCAAGTTGGAACGATTTTAATTGATTTCCATGGCCGAGTGCGTTCTGTCTTATCCATCAACCATCTATCGCTTCTGGTGGTTAGGCGGCTCTCGCTCTCTGGCTCTCTGGCTCTTTGGATTTAATAACTTACATTTTGCGGAGGAAATTGCGCAACCAGAAGATCCAAGGATCCATGCAGCTGTGCCCGCAACTCCGTTTTTGGCAACCTCTCCGATCCGATCACACTTCAATAATAGCGCCTGCCTGCCTGCCTGGCTGCCACATGGGGCAACGTGCACCCAGAAACTGACACACAGCCCGAGGGCCCCATGGGCAGTCTTTTCTGCCGGCATGGGTATGCGGATGTGAATGCAGCTTTGGCAGCTTTGGCAGCTTGACCAGGCATACGTGCTGGTTGAATGCCTCTACTTTAATCCACACACACACACACACACACACACATGTGGCGTGGTGTCTAGCTGCTGCTGCCACATTCTGGTTCGGGGTCTGGTTCGGGGTCTATCCTCAGTGAATTTTGTGCAACTCCCAGTCCTGAGTTTCCCTCGCCACTTTCGCTTGGCGATTTGAAATTTTCGCAATGATTATTCTGAGCATGTCCCTACCTGCCTTTTGCATTGGACTGCCCTCAGTCCTGGCTCTGGCGCTGGCGCTGGCACTGGCTTTGTCTCTGACTCTGGCTCTATCGATGCTGGCTGGGGCTTCAGTGTCCGCTCAGAGTTTTGTGGCAAACAAAGCCACAAATATGCACTAATGACATCGTCAGCTGCCTGCTGTCTCTCTACAATGCAGCAGCAGTCTGCCCCCACAGCCCTGTAGCCTGAAGGAGACGCACATTTTGGGCAATTGTTGCAGCTGCCGCAGTAGGGGCTGACGGGGCTTGACTTGAAGGTGACAAAAATTCGAACCTCATGGTAGGCACACCCACCACATCCATCTCGGATTTCTACCACGTTCTGCTGTGTCTCTATTTGAATGAAACGCACTGTACCTAAATGGTTTATGTCCGCAGCTATTTCTGGGTGGGTTTTCTTGCGTCTGACCTGAGAGCAAAGAAATTACCGAGCAAGAGAGAGAGAGGGAATAATGCAGAAGGGACTCCAGAAAAGGGTTCCAAGAGGTTTCGGCTCCCAGCGGTTACAAATGAATCCTGAAAGTACCTGCAGAACTGGAGCGCCCTGAAGCTGATCTGGGGAACCCTTTGGCGCTGCTTTATTAATATTATTTTGGCTCTGTGGAAGTTCTTTCAACTTCAAAACGCTTTGCATGGCTGCTTCGTCGCCTGCTTTGGTCTGTGGCTATTTTTATTTTATTTGTCGCTATTTTGTGGCATCCACACGTACGTGATTTTTTCTCATTTTGCAGCATTTATTCTGTGTGTTCGATGGGCTGAGGTGGGTTGTGGGTGTACGTGCCTCGTGACCAATCCCACGAGAGGCTGAAGGCCAGAGACAGCTCCCGCTGGCTCCCGCGCAGGGGGGAGACCTGCATTTCCGGCCTGGTTAAGATTCTTGCTGTCTCTTCCTGCTGCACTTGCACTTCCTCCCGGCCGTAGGTGCAACTAATTAAGCAGCTCAGCGGAGTTTGAGTTGGCAACAGCTAAAGGAAGGGGAAGCGCCTAATAAGGCGGCGGCGGAAAGCGAATTTTGCAGCGGAAGTGGGCGGAAGCGGTGCAAATGTGGCATACGGCATGTGGCGCGTGGCAAGCTGCTTGCTTTATCAGCCAGCGACACTGCAGCAGCCGAGCGACCCCTTCCCTCCGAAGCTGTGCCAATCTGCACTTGCAACTGACTCGGCCAAAAGTTTGCGAGGAGCCAAGAAGCAACAAGGGGTTGGCCTGTGGTGGCACAACTCTTTCGCAAACAAATTGCAAAGGAAGCTGTTGCAAAATGGCAACAGGAAAAGTAAACACGCAGCACGAAACACGCAGGACGAACAACTCCCAATGGAATGGACAGAAGCGAACGTGAAGGAAGCGAAGCGAGGCGAGGCGCAGCTCGAGTTGATCAAAAAGTTTCACTAGGTGCGGGGGAGATGTGGGGGGGGGGGGGGTATGTAGCTGCTCCTCGCAGATAACTGTTAACCAAGCAGTGGCTGTTGACTGTCGACAAAATGGGAGAGGGAGAGGGAGATGGAGAGGAAGAGGGAAAGGGTGCTCCTGCCAAGCCAAAAGGCAAGCTGCTATTCCTCCTTTATTGTTGGGAAATTACTTTCCATAATTGGCATTGGACATTTTACAGGCAAAACCCAAAGCTAATTTCATAGTTTAAAATCCACAAACGTGGAGCCTTCAAATCAATTAGGTGTCCCCGTCCTCGCTCTGCAGCAAGTGCCACTTAAAGACCACATTAACACAATGTCAAAATGTTAAAAGGCGTGATTTTGCCACCTACCCAGTGCCCGTGGCAGTGCCAGATATGTGTGTGGCATGTGGCATGTGGCATGTGGCAGGAGTGTGTGTGGGCAGGGGACAGAGGCTTTTGCTGCAGTGTTAAACGAGCTAAACAAAAAAAAAAAAGAGCAGGAAAAATAAACAAGGCAGCAGCTACAGAGGTACAGGAGCTGGGAGTAGAGCAAACAAACGCAGTGGCTGCCACGAGCCCCCCTGCCCGCCCGTCTGCAGCTGCCTCGGTGATTGAGTGAACTGCCACATGGCAGAGGGAGTCAGGACAGCCAGCAGCACGTGCTGCAGACAGTTTGACAAAAAAGCTGTGGCCCACCAAAAAGCACCTGCCCCAAACACACACACACACACACACACACACAAGAAAAATAGAGAAAATTGCTGGGGAGGAGGGAGTTCGGGTCGCAGCAGGTAATGCCCGGTATCAGTGACAGGATTTAAACGGATTACAACAAGGACAATCGAGTTAGCACGGCACATAGAGCATAGAGACACAGCAGCCAGAGAGCAGCCAGAGAGCAGCCCCGGGTTTTGCCTTCCGCCTTCCGCCTTCTTGCCTTCTTTTTGCCTTTGGCCTCTCCTTGGTCCTTCTTCCTCTGGTCTTCCTCCTTTTCGCTGCGGGGCATCTTCGCAGTGGAAATATATGGACTCAGTGTGCACAGACAGAAATCAGAAGTTGATCAAATGGCATTCAAGGTGTTTCTGTGCCAAGTCCTTGGATGATGAAGAATCTTTCAGAGATGCGAAATTCAGGTAATTATTTGATGGCTTCCCGGATGATAAGGCCCCCGACAATGCTCAATTGACTTGGTCCAAGCAGTTCCCACAAGTTATTGCCAGTGTATGGGATAAACGCAAGATAAACGCCACAGCTCCCGAAGCAGTGCAGTGGAGGGCAAAGCGCCTCCCAACTGAACTGACTGATGATGCAACCTCAGGGTGCTGCGAGCAGCTGAAAAGAGTTGACCAACCGCAAGCTTCTCTAATTAATGGCGCACTGCATCGAGCTGGACACGAGTGGACAAGTGATGGTGGGGCATCAGCACACAGAGTGTGTGTGTGTGTGTGTGTGTGTGTGGGAGAGAGAGGAAGGGGGGTACATTGTGTGTACTTACAGTGTATGCTAAGCGAGATGCGCTTTGAAACCGATGGGGGCACCCCGTTGGAGGCGATGCACAGATAGGAGCCCATCTCGTTCCGTGAGATCTTTGACAGCTTCAGCACTTCGCCGCGGAACGAGGGTGCTGCAAGGAACGAAGGAAAAGGGGTATTTGAATAGAAAGTCGCACGAAAAGGGAATGCGAAGCCTCACACTTACCCAATGTCTTTGTGCCCACATTGTCCTTGAGGACAATCTCGTTGCCGTCCTCACGCCGCCAGGTGACAATCGGTTCCGGATAGCCGCGGGCACTGCAAACATCCAACAAAATGAACAGCACAAATTACCAACAAAAAATAGAAGAGGCAATTGTCTTCTCGAGGCGCATAAACCTCAGCGGCCACGCACACGACCACCCAATGGTAATGGCGTCAAATGGGAAATGGTAAATGGTAAATGGTAAATGGTAAATGGAAATGCTAAATGTTAAATGGAAAATATTCAAGTTCAGTGGCTTATTACATTTAATATGAGGAAGCCACGGCATAGATGGTACGTGGAGGCAACAGTCAGTCCAGAGACAGGGCCAGAGCCAGGTCCATTGTGTTGGCAAACAAGAAAGTAAAAAGCTCGAAGCCAGAATCGATACTTTGAATACTCTGCTTTAGTTTTTCCTTTACTCTTTAGTTTTCATTTGGCTACTGCTTGTCCTGCCACAGCCAAAGCAGCAACAAAGTCTGCTTGGATCAAGAATAATTCAATAAAAATTCTTCCAAAATCTTCCTGCCTCGATAAACCCGCTCAAAAACCATTATAGCTCGCTGCAAAAGGGTATCAGAACTTTTATGAAAACTCTGTCCGCCACACGCCTCTCTCACTCTCGCTCTCTCTCTCTCTCGCTGAAAGACCAAAGACAGAGAAAAGCAAGCAGTGCAGCAGGGAAAGCAGAGCAGCGACCGCTTGAAGCCAGCAGGCGCCGACTACGCTGACGACTGCTCAAGTATGTGGTGCAATGGTTAGAAAGAGAGAGAGAGAGACAGAGAGAGAGAGAGAGAGTGGTAGTGGGAGAAGTGCGAGTGGTTTTGTTGAGTTTTTGCGGGCAGAGAAATGCGTGTTAAGACAGCAGTTGTTCAACAGCGAACCAGACACGGGTGTGGTAAATTTTTATGATGCCGCAAACAGATGCAAAACAGCTAAAAAGAAAATCAACCAACATGAACACACACACACAGCCACAGAGTGGGGGGAGCACCTACCACATGGCCAACACAATGGCGACTGGCTGGCTGGCTGGCTACCAGTTAGCAGTCACTAGCAGTTGCTTAGCCATGTTTAGTCATGCCGGGACAGGACCCTTGTGTGCATGGGATGTGGAGGGAGACAACAGCTTTGCTTGAAATCTCCGAGTAAAAACTAAGTGCAATTTGCATAGTCGAAAGACAGGACTTGGGCAAGAGAGTCAGCTTGAACTTTGCTGTGGGTTCTGTTCTCAACGGAGTTTCAGCTTAATTTACAGCTATTCAAAGCAGTGCGAAAAGTATGACATGAATATGCACAGCTCACTCGCCTGACCTTCAATGCACTGCTTGGAATTGATCTACTTCTGGCGCGGCTCTCCGCGCGGTGACCGTTACTCTATCACCTTAACCCCTTGCTCTGATTGTCTGGCCAAGTTTACGGCATGCTTTTAATGTGCGTAAAGCTGAAGTTGAATTCATTTCAAGGGATTTGCACTAAGTGGTATTAAAAATGAACGGGAAACAAAACAGAAAACGAAACCAAACATAAAAAACAAGAAAACTGTCTGCAGACAAGCTCTCTAATAGCTTTCCACACTCTCACACAGAGAGAGAGAGAGAGAGAGAGAGAGAGAGAATGGCACACTCGGAACGCGCTTATCGCCATCGTTTCATCATTTTGCGGTTAAATCGTTAAAAACAAAAAAAGAAGCCAGCAACAGTCCGTGGTTGCGGTCAAGTTCATAAATCAGCAGACAGCCAAGCCTTGGCTTTGACTCCACACCAAGCAGCAGCCGCACTCCGCCGCGTGCCCCTTACATGGCAGTTAGAAAATAACCAACACAAATTAGAGACTGTTAGCCAATACCCTCGGAAAGTGGTTGAGCCTGACCCACCCAGAGGGATAATGCTATCTCTTATCTTTTTGCTGCTCTCTGAAGCAGCTAATATACCCGTTGGCATTGTGTTGGTAGGGTTGCTAGGGTAGATGGCCAGGGAGTGTATTAGTGCGGAATCAAGAGAAATGAAGTGTCACTTAATTTGCTGACATTATTACACGGCGATGATTGAGACGAGGGAACTGGATTTGGAATTGGTGGTGCAGATGGAACTGCAGACTTTCAGCTGGATGAAAAGTGAACGCTAAAAACCTCAGCATGGCATCGTCTTGATGTGGAGGGGAAGGCACTGGGCGTGATGGCTGGGCTAAAACCATACGGTACATACTACTCACCGACATGTCAGGCGCACCGAACTGCCCTCCGGCACAATCACATCCGATGAAGTGTCCTCGCTGATAAAGTCCGGCGGTATGACCACATCGAGGAAGCCTATCTGCAATGCCAAATGAAATAGAAATAGAAATAGAAACAGAAACAGAAACACACAAACATTAACACAATCCGCACGTGGAATGGGCAGGGGCATGGGCTGGAATACTTTATTTCTCTTACTTAAATTATCACAAATTGCTAGGGGACAACACACAAAAATATACACACACACACACTGAGACTAAGAGAGAGGCGGAGAGGCGGCGAAAATTTGCTGATTATGCAAGTTGGCCATAAAGCAGAAGTAATGGTAAAGTGTTTTATATGGCGACTGGGCAATGGCTCCCGAGACTGCATAAGCGGAAAGCGAGCCAAATAAAGTAAAGTAAAGACGATGGCAAAAGGCAAAGGTAAAGCGAATGGAATGGCGTTAAATAGTTTAAGACAGGAGCACAGTTTATGCTTCAAGGCTAGTGGAACACACACATGCACATGTACTGTGTACACACGTGCACTTTGACCCGTCGAATCTCTGTCGTGTTGCCACTGTACTTGCGCTGTGTTGTTTGTTGTTGTTTCTTATGAAAAGCGTAAAAGTGCAAATAAAAATTAAGGAAGCATGAAATACATTTTATTGGCACCATAAACTTCACTTGGCTGGACACATGAGTGTACGTGTGAGCGGCGGACACACACACAGAGCGAGAGAGAGAGAGAGAGCAATGTGGAGGGGGTGAATACCGTTATAGCGTACACAGCAAACAGTAGACGAAGCTTTGCCATCTGCTCGTATGTGGGGTGGGGGTGGGGGGGCCATTCGCATAGTTTTCGCTTTCGATTTGCTGCGCTTTCTTTGCTTCCTTCTTGCGCCTGTCTTGCTCCACCAAAAGAGAATGGAAAAGGGGCAAGGAGAAGGAGAAGGAGAAGGAAAAGAAGAAGGAGAGAGACAACAGTTGAATGCATTCGCATTTTACTATACCGTTTAATGCCGCATGACAGGAATTGCGAAACAAAACCAAACAAGAGAAAGGCTACAAAAACAAAAGATTTCCCTGACACAAGCAGGGGGACATCCACACACACAGCAATGGTCATAAAAATAGCACACAAATACAAACAAATACGCGTATGTAGTTTGCTGGAAACATTTGAGGCGCGCTGCCACAACATATTGAATAATAAGTAGAAAAAACTAACAACATTATTTCTGTTTTGCAAGCAAAACAACCCCCACCTGACTCTTCATGGGATCCGTGTTCAGTTGACACATGTAGCCGCCGCGATCCTCCTCCGCCACCGCCTTGATGTGCAGGTTCCAGGTGTTTTGATCCAAATGGCTGACCGTCACACGGGGATTGTGCGTGATGACATTCTCGTGTATGGCCTGGATGGCCTTGGTGTCGGCTTTCAGCCAGCCCACCTGTGGAAGGGTTCAAGTTTTGCTACGTTTTTTTCAAGTGCAAGGACTGTTGACTTACCCGATAGCCGCCCAGGTGGCGAACGTGACACGTGAAGGTGGCATCGCGGCCCACGGCGACGGACACATTGGAAATGCTCTCCACAAACTCTGGACCAAAGGCACCAATTGCTGAAAGAGTGGGTGCAAAAACACGGATAGAAATAAAGAGACATAGACATAGACAGAGAAAGAGAGAGAGAGAGAGTGAGAGTGAGATTAGAGTGCATTTATGTGCTCGGTGTCTGTGTCTATGTGTGTTTGTAGCAGTTAATGATATCGCGCTGGCAATGCACGCCCGCCACTAGTGCATGGGCATTTCTCCCCCCTTGTTGCGCCTGCCAAAAAGACCGTGATTTATCGCTTTTAAATGTGCCCAAAAGCTCGCTGGCTCGCTCGCTCGCTCGCTCGCTCACTCTTTCGCCTGCCCTTTCGCCCTAGCCCACGCCTTCGCTGTCTCTCATGCTATTGCCAACAACTTAACTGTGCCAGACAACAGCCAGCGTCGCAGTTCACGTTGCAGCCAGCGCCGACAGCAGACAGTTTAAAGAGCTGCGGCGGCTAATTGAAGATCGACATCCGGCACCCTGGCGCGAGTCCACACCGCATACCAGAGCAGAGCAGGGCACAGGCAACCCAACACAGCACCCAAGTCTGGGCTGGGCTCGATGCTGGCTAGGGTGCTGAGTCCTGGGTCCTCGGCATACGCAAATATAAATAATTTATTGAATCATTGAAAATCAAACATTTCACTTGCAAGTGCTGCAAAAAAGTTTCCCAGGCCGTAACACAAAAAACACAACAACAACGACAACAAAAACGCACCAACGGGAAAAAAATTAAAATAAAAATACTAAATTAAAACCGAATATGGCAATACCCTAGCAGATATGTATGAATTGATTCTGTTTGAGCTACTTGGTAGAATTAAATGAAATTCTAGTTTTTTATGTATTTTTTATTGTTTTTTTTTTTATTTCTATAAGCAGTGGCCATATAGTGGTTAATGCTGTAAAAGAATATGCATTCCGTGGGGTTCTCCCTAACATTGCCTTTATCTGATCGAAAATAATGCTACCCCATTCAAGGGTATGGAAAAAATAATGGCACAGAAGCAGGGCTAAGCGGAGAGCGGCAGGCCAGACAGCAGCAGCCACGCACGACTGCTGTCCTGGCCGCAGACTCTCCACTGCGCTACAACTCCCCCCCTCTCTCCGCCGCCGACCACGCTGCCGGGTTGCCTGCGTCGTCTACATCATCGTAATGCATGCAAAAAACTTTTGGCAAACTTGAAATTTAAATATTTATAGACAGTACCGTTGCTTCACTGATGCGGCGGACAGACAGGAGTGCGAGCGAGCGAGATGGCAACGGCTTGGCGGCGGTGCGGGAGGGGTGCGAAAGGGGAAGGTGAAGTGTATTGTGTGTAGAAATATGTTTGGGGAAAATATGTGGAAGAATGAAGAATGCTGAATTGACTCAATTGGCCAAGGGCATGATTTATCGCACTTTCAAATGGAGAGTGCAGAGTGGAGAGTGGAGAGTGCAGAGTGGTTGGCTTGGGGAGGAGAGCAGCGTGGTGGAGCAGTGGGAATCGTAAATGAAACCAGTTGGAATCGCACTCAAAATTACATTTGATAATCTGGATTATCCACTTGGCACACCAGTCCACCAAATCCCAAAAGCTAAGGACACAAAAAAAGTATATATTTAGGCAAATTTATTTGCGGTTGAAGTGGAAGGAAGTGCCACTCGTGTGTGGCATTGTGCAACACAAAACGGACAGACACGTGTGGGTTTACATATGCAGATTAATGTGTAGCTGCCAGGAGAAGTTTTTCATTAACATGCTGCAGTGGGAGAGGGGGAAAAGGGGAAGCCAAAGCAGAGGAGAGCAGCAGCAAGAGGGTAAAGCAGCGATATGTACAGCGAAAGCGAAAGAAGGTGAAGATTGAGCAGAAGAAAGAGAAGGAATAGATTCAGCAGAAGAGAGAAGAGAAGAACAAAAGTAAAGTCAAGCAGTGGGGGTAGATCGCTGAGCAGCGGAATCAGTGTACTGCACAACAGCAGCCGCTGTGGTTTGGATTGTACGGTTAGAAGAAGTGCAAGCAGTGCAGGCAGAGGACCTAGAGCAAGCAGTTGTACAGATTTCAAATCTACAACAACAGCAGTGCAAAGTTCAAGCAGATTGTACATTTGAGGGCAGCAAGACACACAGAGAGCGAGAGAGAGAGAGAGAGAGAGAGACCAAAGTGTTTTGGTACGACAAGTGGCCAAGCTGCAATGTGCCTTGGGTAAAGGTTGGGTGAGAGATGTGGGTGTGAGGGTGTGGGGTGCAAATGTAGTTGCTGCTTGGCTGACTGCGGCTTGTTTGTCAATCTGTTGAAACTGCATGCCAAAGATGTTTTCCAGCATTGTGCCAATCCCAATGAAGTTGTCTACTGGCCAGAAGACCTCTCTCTCCCCGCTTAGTGCTTGTTTGTGAACTCTGGCCCTCTGTCCTGTGTCCTGTGTCCTGTGTCCTGTTCTGTCCTGCTTCATCCCGTTCTGCCCGGCCTGCCCAACTCTGCTGTGCCATGCTCTGGTTCTTCTTCGGCAGGCATTTTGGGGCTAAGCCAAAGTCAATTAACCCCCCGACTTGGGTCCGCTCCAATCCACATTGGTACCAGTCCCGCACCCGCACCCGTTCCCGTTCCCGTTCCCTCTCTCCCCCGCGTACCGCTATCCCATATCATAAATTTCCGCTTCTGCTGCTTCTTACTCAACCTTCTCCCACTGCTTTTGGTACTGCTTTGGCCTCATCTTCCACTGCTTCGTCTCTTTCCGTGTCCTCAGCTTCATTTCAATTTTCGTTTCTTTTGCACACAGTTACCGTTACACACACACACACACACATTCTGAGAGTCTTGTCAATTTTGGCTCGTATCCCGAGGCGACTCTCTCTCTCTCTGTGGCCCCCACACCCTCTTTCGGGAAAAAGTTTAAATCACACAACGACAATGAGGATTTACCAAAGCAAATTTATGGCTAAGGACATTGGCAAAAGTTAAGCATACGAATGTATTAGTGGGTGTGCAGCGTGGTGTGGTGGGAGCTTGATTGGGTGGCCATAAGCAGAGCCAACCGGAATATATACGGGCAGCCCAAGGTGTCCAACACACACACACACACACGACACTAAGATGCGAATCTGCATGGGAATGGCGCACAGGACATGGGACACGGCACATGGCCCATAAGACACTGGCGGTACCTTTGCCTTTGCCGTTTTTTATGGCCTCACACATGGACAGCCACACAAATCCACTGCCAAAGCGCCCAATGATAGGTGATAATGGCAAATATCGAGAGGCACATCGAGAGGACAGATGACAAGGCCCAAAGACAACACAAGACACAAAAACTTAAATAACACAAAACTGAAACTGAAACTGAAACTGACACTGAGAATGAAACCAAAGCTCCCAAACCAAAGGTCTTCCAAGACTCTTTCTTGCCTTCCCCCGACTTAAAGTTAGCTTCTCGTTCTTATTTTTTTTTTTTTTTTGGTAAAGCAAATAAATGACTTGAGATGGGTGAGAAAGTGGCAGCGTGGAGCTTTGGGGTGTGCCACAGACGATGCCTGCAAATGGCTGTTGGACTTTTGTTTTTGCTGGGTCTGGCATTGAAATTAGCATTTTTACAAATCGTCGTCTACAGCCGTTGAACTACTGCCAATTGAATTTACAATACCCCAGCCAACCGCCCACACCCCCCACTGACCAGCAGAGCAGACTCACAAAAAACAAAAAAAAAAAACAAAAAAAAAGTATTTTCAATTTAAAATTCTTCAACTTTCTCCCCCTTTCTTTTGTTGTGTGTGTGTGTGTGTGTTTGCTCTTAACAAATGTCGCGCAATTAATTGTGTCTTGATTTTTGTTTCACACTTTTGTTTCTCTGATTCTGAAAAGGGTAGCCTGTGCCCCCCTCGGGAAGTGCTTAATTGCCAAAGTTTCCATGTTTTGGAAGGGTTTAAGGCTGATCAATATTTGTAGCGGTCAGGTGGAGTAGGCTTCAATCGAAGAGAATCCTTCTTCCTGTTGGGAATCGATGGAATGCTTCGAAGAGATAATTAAATTATGCACCACCCAGACCTATTGGACCTGTGCCATTGCATCGAACTATTTTGTAGCCATCAAAGGCCACAAGTCGTAAAGTATGAGGAGCAACCCATCAGCAGTCTACAGAAATGTCCTCCCGTGTCTGTATTTATTTAATTTTTAACTCCAAATTGATGGACAACAATACAAAAGAAATGCACCAGGTATGCATTTGAAGTTTCATTTAAACTCGATTCAACAACTAAAGGACACTTTAATGCGCTGCTTGTCCAAACAGAAAGCTTCACTGCACAAAATGTAAATTGTAGTGGAAAATATCTAAGACTTCGATACTTGATGGTTAATTGTTGTTTCCCTTTCCATTGTTTAATGCTTTGGTGCGTGCATAAGCTTCTTAAGGTTAAACAATTTCAGAGAAAATATTTAAGCAACGAAATTGTGATTCAAGCTCGCAGTCTGATATCGTTGAAATAATCAGGAAATCGCATTTATGGTAAAGAATATCATGGCAAGAGGCCACTTATTCAACAAGCACAGCTTAAGATTTTCACTTGGCACAAGTGCTCCTCCTCAGTTTTCCAAAGTTAATGCAAGTTTCCATTTAATTATTATCAAATAATTGTTGCAGCCTAGCCAGTTTGCAAATTGTTTTGCCTTTCGCTTTCCTGTGAGTTAGAGACTTGTTGGCTGAACTTATGAACAGAGAAAACTCTGCATGCAGCTGCCACCCACTTCTCTTTATTCTCTCAATTTATTAATGTATCTTGCACCCTCCGCCAGAACCTATTAACCCACAGGCCATGTGCATTTATCTCATCGGATTTGGCTTACTTATTTTCCACTCTCTTCGCACCTTAAGCCCTTTAATTGGGTCTCAGTCTTTGCTTCAACCCATTCGAATTTCATCCGTTCGGCGTCACATTTAATTAATTACAAAGTACGCGCATTTTTTGGCGAAGAAACTTTTTGGGGAAACCCAGGAGCAGCGGCATCCCAGCACCAGAACGGTGGAAGGATGATAGTTAAAGTTGCTTGGGGTCAGGACCCACGACTAACTCCGTCTGCGGCTGCTGCCGGCGTTGACCACGTCCACTAAAAGCTGAAGAACCGCCGCCAACGAAGTAAAAAAATGCAACAAATATATGCCACACAAAAAGGATATATACAAAAAAGAGGTGCAATCAAAAAAAGGAGATTACAAAAGAGACGAAAAATAAAAGAGAATCAAAAATCAGCAAGTCAGTAAGCTAAAGTCGCGTATTTCGGCGGCATACCGCCGACTCGGATTTATTTATTTGAATTCCTAAGTGGTAAAATCAACTAATGGGAATATTTCGCATGAAGTTTTGTTGGAGCTAGTGAACATTTGAATAGGGAAATGGTGAGAAAAGTATTTTAAATATTAAAATCCTTTCCTGAAGATCGTTGGAGATCGCCAAATATCTCTAGCCCTCTATGCACTCCAGCGCCTGCTCCATCGTCAGCTTTTCCATTCTACATTTTGGGTTTTTAAAGTACTCTCTCTCTCTCTCTCTCTCTCTCTCCCTATCTAAACAAACCGCAGCAGGCCCAACAACAAAATACAAAGTAAATACAATAAAGCGAGAAGGGACGTGTGAGACGCTCCTTACGCGTCACAACTCTTATACCCGGCACTCAGTACTACATCTGCACCTTAGCGGTGTTTTGTCAAATTTTCAATTTGTTGATCTGATAGATATGGTCATTCCCTACGGAATGGCGTTTTGGTTTTCTTTTATCTTCAAAATTGTAGCTTTTGTAGCAACAGCAGCCAAATAGCCATTAAAAGTAGCAAAGCAAATCTCCCCCGCCCCAGCCCTCTCTCTCTCTCTCTCTATCGCGCTGTGTTATGCAAGCCATATTGCGGTTTAGCTTACACACTCACTGGCAGCACAGCGGCGTGGAGTCAAAGCGGCTTGCTGGCATGGCATGTCCCCCCCCTTTCGCGCTTGCATTTTGCCAAATGCTCGGCAATTAATTTGCATATCATTGATATGCACACACTGGCACACACATGGCAGGCGGGCAAACACTGAAGTGTGCAGTCGTGACTGGGTTCGCTTATATTTGTTTAGGATTATTATCGGTTATTAATGTTGCTGTAATTGAAAATTATTTTCACTTTTATGTTTATCATTATCATCTACCATTACATCGGGATCCACCATTGCATCCGCCCCCTCGCCACTGGCACTGCCCCTTCACTATTATTATTATTATTATTATCGCTGGGGAATTATTGTTTGCCGTGATTTAAGTGCTTTAAATATGTACATCTGCATGCATTTAATATTTATGCGCTGGAATGCCCCGGACTGGACACCACAGCGAGGCGTGGGTCAGGTTCCGCTCCCTCCCGCACGTTCATGCATAATTATCGGCTTTATGGGAATAGTTTTTGCCTTGCTTGAAGCTTTACGAATAATTCCTACTCGTACTCGTATTCGTTTTAATGTAAGAAGTACAAAATGACAAGTGGCCATCCCTTTAAATGGCTCCTTAATTTCCTAGTTCATTGAGATTGGTGCTTGGCAGGTGCTAAATCGTGTAGAAATATTTATTTATTATATAGCCATATTATAACATTTGTATAGAATCTTAGATAAAATGGAGACAACGAAGGGTGATCGGGAACGTTTTATTAATCGAAAGATATGTCACCTGACATGTTTTTTTTTTTGTACAAATATTACAATTTTCTATAATTACTCCTGTAACCCTCTGCTGCCTACAGTGCTGAGCCCTCTTCTCTCTCAATTTTCATTTGCCCCAGCCTATATTAAACAGCTAAACCACACGAATATGAATGATACATTGGCAAACAATCGGTAACCGAAAATTGCCATGGCACAATGGGAGCACTATTTATTTTGTTGTTGGCATATAAAACAAAACAAAACAATGCAATGGGCAATGACAATTCCCTTTATGTAAATATTTAATGCCAGGAAGGAAAGTATTTTGCGATTGTCGCGCCGACGTGAACAATTTGGCACTTCATTTTTTATAATTATCAGACATCAGACAGGAGCCAAGAGCGCCAGCGTAACCAGTCAGCAGAAACCAGCAGCCCGGAGCCAGGACAACAGGCAGACAATGGCCCAGGCAGGTGGTCGGTCAGGCGGTGCTGCGGTTGGGCACGGGATAGAAGTGTGGAGCGGAGAGCGGAGAGCGGAGAGCGGGCAGCGGCAGGTGAAAACATAATTTTTACGCAATTAAAATGAGAAGAGATATATGTGCGTACGGATGAGTGAGCAGCACAGTGCGTTCCGAAACTATAAGCAGATGATTTTTTGTCAGATTTAAGCTCGAAGCTCGGCGCTAGTTTAAGATTCATTTATATTTAATGAGGAAGGTGTATTGATTGAAGGAGTGCTGCAACCGCTTGATGGCTTCTAAATACTGGAGCCAAAGGCTGTATAGATGAAGAGAGATTTTCTCGATCCCAAATGAAATGAAATTTAATAAATACTTCTCCCAAAAGTTTCCTCTTATTCTGGGGTTTTCAACACAAGTTTGCATCGCTTTTGATTCCATTTAATTCAGATTTGTACTTATTTGGAAGCTTTCCCTAAATGCTTGTCCAAATTAGTCCATTCATCTGGAAGTATAAAATGATTTGCTACTCTTTGTCGCTAGCCCAAAATTGAAGTTAATACCTTTGACACGGACTGTCCCTGCCTGGGGCTATGAGGCATAAGCCGAACAGATTTTATAGCAACAATGAAGCCGCGGTATCGCTGGAATCCGCTCTGGCGAATGAGTAAGTGAGTGCGTGAGTGCGTGAGTGCCAGCGGAGTGGCTGATGGAGTCAATGAGCACGGGCGGGAGAGGCGGAGAGTCAATTAAATTGCCATTCAATGTGCAGTGTTCCCTCTTCTCTGTGCAGTGCTCAGTGTTCAGTGCTCTCGATATTGGCTGTTGTCTTTTGCTTTGCTTGTTTTTGCACAAACACACATATGTGTGTGCGTGTGGCGTATGTATTTTATTTATTTATTTGTTTGTTTGTTATTTATACGTTTTAATGCCAAATGGCAATTGGCAATGGCAACAATGCAGCCGGACAATGGCCGGACTTGTAGCCATGACAGTGCATTAAGCAGTCTCCCACAGCCAACGGGACATCAGATGCCGTTATTAATCGCACTCCTCTCCACTACCCCCGAATGCCACGAACTCCACACTGCCTGCTGTCCAACCTAAGGGTTTAATAAACTCACTTTACGTCGAAACAATTATCAAGTCGGTTTACGTTCAATTGCCTGCATATTATAGCGTCCCTAGCGATTGTCTGTCCGCCTGTATGTCCGCCTGTCTGTCTGTCTGTCGGGCACTGCACAACACTGATTACAGCTTGACATTCTGCCATGTCCGGCTGTCTCTCAAGCCAACACTGCACAACACTGTTTACGATCTGGGGCAGTCTGCCAAGGAGAAGAGATCTTTCCAAGATCGTGTCAAATGCATGCACAAAACGTTTTTTCAATCTATGAAAAGTCTGCTAGTCCTATCCCGCTTCGATCCATAAGCTTATAGATACAAGTTTTCGATAAAGTTTCTCACAAGCTGAATATTTAAAAATTACAATTTGTGCAGTTTCCAGAACTTTCTTCAGAAACTCTATTATCTTGAAAAAGATCATAGAAAAATCTCGTTTTACTTATGTTCCCAATTAAATTATTGTTTTGAGCCACTCTCATTAGCATTTAAGAAGAGAGAAAAGTCTCTTTGTTATATTATATTAATCATACATGCAAAATCCCCTTGTTCTAGTGCAAAACTAGAGTTACTTCGTTATGCTGGAGAGAATTTACGCTAGATTTAGCAGTGGCTTTTGCGAAACAGCCAAACGCTAATAAGTATGCTATGGAATTTTGTCATTTTGTTTTCTGTTTTTAATTTCTTTGATTAAAACTGATTAGACCTTTTAACTTCGTTTTTTTCGTGTCTCCACGTGGTCAACATATAACGAGCTGACATAAAAATACATTTTTTGATTCTCCAATTAAGACAAACAAACTGTCGCACAAAAGTGTAACTAGAATTTTGAAGGTACTTTGGATAATGAATTCTCATATAGTCCATGTCATATCATGTTTTATCAAAGGATGTGCTTTGAGAGATGCTCATTTCTGATATTGAAAAAAAGTACATTCAGGTTTCTTTTTAGGGAAACAAAAAAGTTTCCATTTGAAGATAAATCAAAATCAAATCAAATCAAATCACAGAAATGCATTAGTTGTCCTAAATTGTTAATTATCAATTCCCATGGTTCCGCTTCTGGGTAGCAAGTTTGCAGTTTTGGAATGTGAAAAGGAACTAAAACCTTAAATATAGTCAACAACCAACTTTGTACTTGTCCATTTTGGAGGGTTTTCTCAAGTATTTATTTTATAAAGTCCAAAACAGTTCTGAACATATTCATTTTTAATGCACATATTCCCCGATTGTTGCCATATAAATTCTACTCTGCACTTTCCCTGCACTGGGGTGGGGCTTCCTTGATCTTTTACCTTCCGTCAGCGTTACGATGAGCAGCAGCAGGATCAGCATTTTCCCATTGCGATCGAGGGGTCCGCGAGGATACAGTTTCGATATGATTCGCATTTGGGTTTATTCAAAAATTCCTCTCCGACATTTGCGATCGGCACGCGTTATCTTTGATTCACTTCACAGCTTGTACATCCGTACAAAAAAAATGCAAAAAAATGTAAATCACACACGAAAGTGGCTTCCCGGGGTAGTCCTTATTTTTATTTGATTTAATTGAAGTTAATTTAATGTTTTAATTTAAAATATTTATTAGCAGCAGTGGACAGTGCGACGTGCAACTGCTAACTGTAATGCAATGGGCAGCGCTGGCAGTGGCAGCGATAGCGGCAGATGGGTTCGGTTCGTGCTCGAGTTTCGACTACCGCGTCCAACCAGCCGACAGTGACGCTGTTGATCAACTGAAAGCGGCGGCTCCAACATGGGGCCACAGCCTCCGCACGAAACGCAGACGAGCGCCGGCTCGTGGCTCATCGCAGACGAGTCACAGCGAACCGAGCGCAGACGAGCCGCGACGAGCGCCGGCCGTCGCCGCCAGCCGTTGGATATTGGGGCCGACGCGCAGGCCGAGCTCTGCAGCCGAGTGCTGCCATGGCGAATGCTCGTTGCCAATTGTCGAAGTGGATTTTCGAAACGAACGGCGTCCACCATGTGCCGCCTGGGTTCCACACTCTGGCCACGTGGTGGATCGCATCGCTTGTGGGCGCCAGCAGTGGGGAGTTGTGTGGCCAGCAATTGTGGCACATGCGCCCTGTGTGACGAGGGAGGAGTGTCGACTCGTCCGTCTGACAAATGGTACGACAATTGCTACAAGCTGTGGTGGCATTTGGCGGCCTGGCTCTTGTGGCAGCGGCGGTTGTGGATGGGCAGGGAGCTGCTGCGGGGGCGAGGCGAGGTGGCATCCACGCGGTTGGGCGCCTCCTTCGCTGTTGTTGTTTCTGCTGTTGCTGTTGCTGTTGCTGTCGCTGTCACTGCCACTGATGGGGCTTGCTTGCTGTTGGCAAGCATCTAATCATCATCATCATCATCTGTCCGTTTGCCGGACAGTGGCGTCCGTTAAGCAGCGTTATCCACAGATCTACAGTAATCCCGACTGCTCGCTAACATTTTTGTGATCCGCAGTCTACAGTCGCTTTATGCTTTGATCATCCTCTGGTGTCCGCTGTGCGTGTTGGTAATTTTAGACATTCTGTAAACGAACAGCTGACTCTCTCCTAGGCGGACACCAAGTGTCTTTGGCCATCCGCAGAGTCATATTTGTTTCTCCTTTATTAAAGGGCATCTATTGCCTGTCTACTGTATGTAAGCCATCCACTATCCTTTTGTCCCTGCCTGCCATCTAAAGGAAAACTGTTCTCCGGCTGCCCACCATCCTGCACCCGCAATGGGCCATCATAAGGAAAAACTTTTTCGGGGCGCACCAAAAAAGTTTGAATTGCATTCTGCATTCTGTCAGATAAAGAGGCGACACAATCCCTATCCCAATGCGCAAACCGAATCCCAATTGACATAATTTTCAATATTTCAATGTCAGAAAATGGGAAAATTTCACAAAATTTAATTGAACTTTAACTGTCAGAGGACGAGACCTCCAGATACGAGCTGAGACTTCGACTCGATTCGAATCGAGACTCTTGGCCAAGACCGAGGGGAATTTCGCTGATGCTGAGGCTGATGCCGATGTCGATGCCGATGCCGATGCTGAGACGGAGCCTGATGACACGTCCAAAGTCAGGCCTGTCAAACCTGCCACAAAGTGGCTTAATTATCTAATAGACGTTAGATATGCTGCAGGGTATGGCAGGGGGGCTGGGGATGATGGCGTCTCGTACTTAGCCTGTCAGCGGGTGCCACTCATCTCAAATAGTGGATGCAACCCGCCACCGCCACCGCCACCGCCTACAGCCCACAGCGGAAGCTCCCGTTTTCGGGTGTCTTCAACTTTTGCGCTTAATAACTCAATTACGAATTTGCGAATGGTAGTGGGCCAGGGGCTCGGGATAGGGCATAATGATGCAATTATGCAATTTTTACCACCAGATTCGGTTAAATGAATTGCAGCTGCTCCACCAGGCTCAGGCTCAATGCCTGCCTGCCGCCAACTGATGTTTGCTGCAACAAATCAAACTGCGATTCGCAAAAACTTTTGCACACTCGACGAGCTGCAATTATCCGCAGTAGATGGCAAGTGCTGTGGTGAGCTGGTGGCAGGGATAACAAGAGGGTAATCCTGAAGAATGCGCCGACGAATGGGGAATACACTGATGATGGCAAGACTATATGAGCAGCTGCCTAAAGATCTGGCACAAGGAGAGGCAAACTTTAAGATCAACTCTTGCAGTTGGTCACCGAATTCCAAGCCGACTCATTTGTGTGTAAGAAAAAACACTTCACTTCAAAGTCAATATATGCATATTTAAAACAAAAGATTTGTGGACACAAAAGTTACGATGAATTGCAAAGCGGCGATTTCATTTAGGGATTATTGTCACACTGCATGTATGATGTGTACGCACACCCCCGTATGTATGGTTAACTAATCCTTCCCACTGTGCTCTTCTATTCACAGAAAACTTCCGGGACGAACGACGGAGCCGAAGAAACCAAACCAAAAAACTTTTGTTTCTAAAACTCGTGTTCAAAGTCTGCCACGACACAAAAGAAGGAGCCCAGGAGCCAGAGCCAGAGCCAGAGCTGGAGCTGGAGCCTGCATGGGGTTGGGGTTTGTTTCAGGTTTGGAGTTTGTGATTGGGGACAGGTGTATGTGAATTTTGAATTCGAAAAAGTCTTGCCTCTCTCTCTCTCTCTCTCTTGCTCTAAGTCTCTGCCTGTCTCCCACACTGACAAACACCTGCTGGAGCAATAATAAGTATGCAGCGTCTACAAGGACAGCAAGGACAACGTTTGGCGCAAGTTGTTCTTTGGTTGTTAGGTGTTAAAGCAGGCGAAAGTTGGAGGCCATGTGGACAAGGACGAACAGGAGCAGGCAGCCTGGGCTGCATGTGTCGCGTACGTGTGTGTGTGTGACAACAACAGCAACAGCAACAGCAACAAGAACGAGTGTGACAACAGTGTGACCAAATGCGAGTGTGAGTGTCGGTCCGTGCCACAGTGTGCACGTGTGGGCGTGTGTAAATCGCACATTTCAATTTGCATGTGTTAGCGACAAACTTTTGATAAGTGTTGCTCGCATTACACTCCCACACACACACACACACACACAGAGACACAGACGCACAAGGAATTGAAACTTATTGTCAAACACGAACAGAACCCATCACACCTCCCTTAGACACATGTAAATTCATATTCAAGCACACAGACACACACACCCACGCACACAGAGAAAACAGTTTTCAATATTTTTCAGACACTTGTAGGTGCTACGTGCCACTGCGCACACCTCGGGGGATCGATAGATAATGAAATTTTATTACACCAAAAATATCCAAATTAACTCGAAGATATTTTACTAGACAGAAAGGACACAAAGGACACAATAAACCAAATGTTTGACTACTCAAACAAAATAATTAAAGTCTTGCAAGCATTCCAGCATAATGAGAACTTAATTTGGTGCCTCAACTGCATCGATTTATGCATCCTGGATGCATTGGTTTTTCGTTGTTGAAGTTTTGCACCAAATTTAGGCATTTGTTCAGAAAAGAGCAGAAAATAAGAGGCCTACACAGCAGCACCACTGACTGTGTCAGGGAGTGCCGCCTCGAATGTTTTAATCTATAACCAAAAGTACTACACAGGAGCCACTCATCCTGTTCATTATTTCGTTTATATTAATCTACTATAAATACGTTTTAGCACTTCTACTCCAACCTGCTGCTCTCATTCAAACTGTTATCCGACTGCTATTGATCGCTGTCGACCAGTCATTCAATTGTTCAAAAAAAAGCTTGATGTACAGTACTTACATATGTACGAGTATGAATAAATCAATCGCTTTTCAAATTGGCTATTATGCTCACTGCTCTGAGGGGAAACCCAAACCCATCCAGCCACCCTCGACGCTCTCCAACTTTGTTCTTTTGCCTCTCCAACTGGTAGCTGTAACTTTTCCTTCTCACTTCCGCTGTTCTTCTGCTGTTCAGGATGGGCGTTGATGAGTGCCTGCTCTGTTATCGTGAAACCATTCCATCTTTTGGCCGCTGCTGGGAGTCGCCTTTGGCGTTTGCCGCTTGACTAACGGCTTGATCGGGGGGGTGGCACTAGGGCTGGTATGTAAATTTCGAGTGTTTGTATGTGTCCTCTTACAGAATTATGAACATATCCTGTAAATTGAAGAACGTCATCAGAGCAGACAAAAGGCACAACAAATTGAGAGCAGAACAGCTTCATACTCCATCCTCCATCCTTCATCCTCCATCCTTCATCCGCCATGCTCCATATGCTCGCTCTCTGTCTTGTCCTGTCCTCCACTGTACCACTATCCTGCCACTATCCACATCATTCGTTGGGTGGGGTGGGGTGGGGTGCTGTGGGCTCACCCGTTTTGTAGCCACATTTACAGCTGCAACATAAAAAACTGTTGCAGCTTGTGGCACACAGCGACGTGTTATCTCGGCTGTGCGTCATTTCACACCAAACGACGCCAGGCAACGGGCGAAGAGGCAGAGAGGCAGAGAGGCGGTAGCAACGGCGACCGCAAACACAAAACAAAATCTGACAATAAGTGTGAAAACGGTTGTGTCCCGGCCCCACCCATCCCCAGCCAAAGCACCAGAACATCGGAGGAGTCTCCCAACCACTCCACTCCGCCCCACTCTCTTTCACTCCTTCACTCGTTTGGTTCCATGCAAAACTAAAAGAAAAATGTTTAAATATTTCCTGCTTTTTATTGTGGTTACACTGGCTCGGCTCGGCTCTCTGCCTTTGCCTTTTCCTTTGCCTTTGCCTCTTCCAGTGCCATCCGCACCCAATCGTTCCACCACAAAATCAAAAGCTGAAGCTGGAGCTGGATCCTCACATAACAACAACAATGAAGATTGCACACAAAAAACAACAAAAAATAGATGCGCACAAAAGAATTTATTCCTGAGAGCCGAAGCAGGAATTACCCTTAAAGGTAAGTACTCCAATAGTTAAGATTCTCAATTAAAAGCTTTTAAATTTCGTTTGTATTCTAATGAAATAAGAAAGAATTTTGATTCCAATTAACCTTCAAATAT